TTTTAGGTTAACAATATTTTTTTGAACAATTTTTTTAAAAAATTGGGAACAAATACATACATATCAAAGTATCAGACTATCAGATAACAAATGGTATTGAGAGAATTTAATATCCATTATCGTAAAAGCGTCGAAAGCATCAAAAGTATGTACCAAATTATTCCACCATTGACCCCCTCTATAGTCTATAGATCGGCCAAGTGTTGGTATTCATCGACTTTAAACGTAATTGTCCAACAAATATGACATAATTTGTATGTTATCTACTGTAAATTATTGCTAAGAAATGAACCATACGACTGCAGTACAATTATTATTAATATTCATATATACTGCAAATTGAATTAGCCGAGTTAATCAATGTTCACAATTTTTTTCTACCCATTAAATAATTATTATAATATAGATGCATAAAATACCCTAATTATTACTTTAAATATACCTGAATATTTTTAACAATTTTTTTAAATAAAAAACATAAATATAAAAAGTTTTTGAACTGTTTTCAGAAACATACGTAGTTGTGAAATTGTATATAGTGTTATAGTTTCATTTTATATTAATGGATAATACGAAACGATAAGAAATATTATGCATGTTTGAGAGTTTGAGAGTTTGAGCTTTAAACTACCTATATACAATATAACATATTTCTATGTTATTTAAAAAAGGATATGAAAATGATTTATGTCGTTTCATTAAACCAAAAACAAACATTATAGTATGCCTATCTTATGCGATAGGTACATGTCTTAATAGTTATTTTAACTTTTGTTTTAAATTTATAAATCCGAATGTTTGTGTTGAATTCAGTTAAATGTGTAGGTATACCTAAATAGAAAAAATGTAATAGAACTGTTTTCAATAAGGTAGGCAATTTTCTGACCTAACGATGTACGCGAACAAAGAAAGTGTACAAACTAAACTATTTATTATAATATGCCAAAAATCAAACTTGATTAGGAATAAGAATATAATTAGAACTCAATGCCCATAATTTAATAATGAATTCACAAACGGATAGATCGTACGTCACGAAGACTAAAGTTGTCATATTTATACAGCAGTAGTACATTTTTATATCATACGAAATTAATAAAAATGCATTAGTGTGGCGTATTTATGTCAAACAATCACCACCAATCATACAGCTAAATTGTATTATGTCAAAAAAAAAGTTTTTTCAATACGACTCAAAGTTCGAAAAAATAATCTTTAATACACCCGGTAATATGCGCGTGTATTGTAGTTATTAAACTGCAGAATGAAAATATCTAGGATATAATAGTTACAATAAATAAAGTATAGATAGTTACAATAAATAACCTATAGATAGTTACAATGAATAGTTACAATCATTTTATTCAGTAATAATTCGTTTACAACTATCAAATTAGGTGAACATTATAAAACTTTGCACTAATTACTCACCGTACAACATATTATAATAGCTTATAATTAAACGATAATGGATGCCACAAATCGTGCAAGGCAAATGAACGACTATAACGATGGACGCGATGGCTTTACATACTGTACCTACAAATGGTTTCTTTGAAGTGGAATAATTATTATAATAAACCAAAAACTATAATACTTCAACGCATAGGTACGTGAAATGCCGGTAACAGTACGGCAACGCCATATTAAAATATTATATTTGTGCAGTTTTCTAAAAAAATAAAAAAAAAATTATCATTTCACCTGGCACTTTCATAATGGTATTAATTATTCAATTAAAAACCTCAATTACTAATACACCTCGTTAGTATCGTAACGCACTCGAAATATAATTTATTGCGAAAAACAATAATTGATCACCAAATTGTTATTAGGTACAAATATTTACGGCGGGATTGATTGGAATATACATACAGTCACGCATGAACCATTTTTCTCCTCAAAACAAACATTTTCAAACTATTTATTATTTTTTTTTTCGTCCGAAAATGAAGCTCGTACAGTTTATTAACATTTAAAAAATGGAATGCAAATAAATTTATTCATAAACCGCTACAACACAATCAATGTCCGCCGAAATCACGACCAAAACTTTTGCAACCGTTGTTTCGTATATATACTAGGTAGTAGGTAGGTACCACCTACCCACCATAAACGTACCTACCTATACATAGTTTATTTAGCATTATTTTAATATTTAATAATTATTAATGTTGTAAACGACATTCTACCTACAATTTTGCTCCGTGTAAGCTTGACCTTAATCGTTACTGTATTTCAGGGGCTATTATAATGCATTATTATGAAAGATACGACAAAATGGAATAATGACAATATTTAAAAAAAAAACATTCTACATTATTATAAAGATTTTTAAACTCAAGACTAATGGTTTTGTAAGTGGCATGCGTATAATCTAAACTGTGTTTCCCTTACAAAGTGCCGTAATCCTGTCTAAAAGAGTTATAATATTCAAAGTATGTATATACTCTTGAACTTCGAAGTACCCCTACCAACAATAAAAGTTAAAGTAATGAGCTACAACTTGTTTTCTGCGGTATCGTTTTTAGATCAAATACCTCAGCGAAATGATAACATTAATTTATCGCAACAATAATGTTCATTATAATATATTATTATCCATCCAGCGGGACGGCAGTGGCGCTAAGCTAACTGAAGAAAAAATAATAGACGCATATTAACAGGCCCAGCCAGCGAGTCTTACCATTGAAAAACCGAGTTAATATTTGTGCTGGTCCACTTTACAGAGCAAACGACTGAACACATAAGGTCACACAAGGTATCAATCGATCACAAATATTGTGCAGATGTCAGCGGAAAAACTCGCGAGCGGATTGGTTGGATGGCTGAAAAGTTATAACCAAAAATGTCCAAGTTGTCTTGAGTCACTTTTTAGTCTTTTGTGTTGTATGCGCCGCCCATGTTTCACCTCCCAACAGGGCTGTGATTTCGGCGCTATGCATAATTCGATTTTCGCAGAGCGTCGCGGTCGGTTGAAATCGGAAATATTAAGCAATCAAACGAAATTGTCTAGGAATAAATTGGAGTTCAAAAGCGTTCAATAAGTTACACGCGTGCAATATATAGGTACAAGCGATACGTACCCAACCCGTATCGGACTCATACTTGGATACGAGTTAGTACCTACGTAACTATTCCATATCGATAGGTATCGAATTTTTCTTCTTGAAAATCTTCAAAGCTCGGTATAGTGGGGCTAACGTCGACTCGCACTTCATCAAATACCTATGCAAACTATTATAAACAATTTAAATACTAATGCGAATTTAAGAAATTACTTAGCCCCTTTTCGATATCACAACTTTTCTAACTTGAGTTTTTATGTTTTCTTGGCTAGGTTTTTTACACGTAGTGTTTTTGTTGAGATATTGTATACATATTACAGACGACATATACGTATTTAAAATAATATTAAATTGTACGCCAAAATATATATTATTATTAGATATAGGTACGCGAATCATTTTGACATTGAATAATTTCTATAATATACGTTCAGCGTAATATTTAAAGCTTAAACGAATACAATATCTTTTGTATTAATCAATTAAAAAAACATTTGGACCATTAAAATACGCCTATATTATTATAATTTCTCTCTTGATACTCTTTATAAAATCATTAAGTTAGGATCTCTGCAACCCTAATCAGCCTAATGAGGCAAACTTTTTGGATAAGCAAAACAGGTTAATATAATAAACGATTTATTAAAATGTACATTTTTCAAGCTGATTTTTATAAAATAAATAAATCTTTCTTTATTTTCACGATTATCTCGTTTAAGTATTTATTCTTTTCACTATAAAAATATAAAATTGAAAAAAATAAGCAATGCATAATTAATTTTAATGCGCAACACTTAATTTTCACAGTTAAAAAAAATCAATGCAGCGTATTGATATGTAAGTACTTAAGCACAATACATAGATAATGCAGTGAGACCTCCCCTTAAATACACCTCTAAGGCCCTGAAAATCCAACACCTCCAAATAGTGTACGTTTTTTTAGAAACAAGCTACAAACTTTTTACGAACGGAACCCTCTGAATAGTGGACACATCTAATTAGAGTATACAACATTTTAATGTCGGAGAGTATCCGGTATTAAGAGGTTTGACTATATTATTAGGAACCCAAAAAACAAATTTAATTTTCCCAGAATATATTTATGAAATTATTATTATGACAGTGAAATACTAGTATATTAAGTCTAAATGAGGTACCTAATAATTATATAATGAGCAGTTAAACATCTGGTGATATCGAGTGTTGACGTTTGGTATAAAACGTTGTTTTCATTATTCGAGTAGAGACATTTATTTTTTCAAAGACTAACAACAAAATCCAAAAAACGAGAGGAAACCTGTTTTTTATTTGAGGCCATCATATAAGTATGTAATCCAAGAATGCAGGTGTTTAAAAATATGGTCGTAAAAGAATAATTCTTGAAAAATCTACAAATCAAATTTTAAATAAATAAATTATTGTCAAAAGCAAAATTCGTCGTGGTGATCATGACTGGTAAATCACTCTGTTTAGTGCATAGGGAAATGCACTTATCGGAAAATGCCGTCCCGGTAGCTGTATAACAGGGAGCCACGGACGGGCGCGGTGTTTCGAGAAAATCCCATTTCGAAATGGAAATGAGCACAAATAATATTATAATCGTCTATATGTGTGTTATATTACATTTCCCGTTAAATTGTTACGAGATGGCAATCAAGTTACTGCTGCAGTTGCAGTATGATAGTCGGAAAGATATTATTATTAACGCCATACGCACTATACAATATATTACATTATTTTGGCTCAAATTTATGAAATTTATATCGGAAATGATATCGTTTTTTTCCGGATGCGCTTGTGTGACCGTTCACTCACATGTATATAATACATATAATATATATAATATACGTCATACCTATATTATGTATATAATATATAGAAGAAAAAAGGCACTGCACATATCGTTCCACCCCAACTGTTCGTAAGTATTATATGACGTCATACGAAAGTCGCAAAACGGTTCACCATATAATATGTCTGACACCAGTTATCCGGTGTACCGATGGCGATGGTGGTGCAGGCGGTGGCGACGGTGGTGGTGGTGGTGGTGGTGGTGGCCAACGCGGTCGTATGCGTATACCAGATAGTATATACCGCACCCCTGCAGGGGGGGTGGTTTTCTTCCGCAGTCTTTATCCGTCGCCGCGTTTTATTATGATAATTACACCACAAGGTGGTGCGGTGGTGTATATCATTATGTGTTTATATAAATTATTATTTGCAACCGGATGATTTATACCGTGTTGGTGCAACGTAATAATTCATCGGGCGATGCCAAGGCCATGCGGAGCTTTAGAAAATAATATATAAATGAAAAAAACCAAAATCATTCTTTACTAATAGTACCCATACACACGTCCCCGAACACAACGCAAAACTTGGCCTCGCGCGAAAGCCGATATATTTCTGTGTGGTTGTCAAACGCAGTTAAAATCAACCGTTATATATACCTAGGTAGGCAGTGTGATGGGAACAAACCGTCATGCCTCGGCGGTGGCGGCGCTCATAAAATTAAAAACCAACACCTGGAAAAATGAATCGGAAACCCTAAATAGACGATAAATCTCGAAACTATAAATCACTTTCGTCCCAACGCAAAACAATAGGCATCGGAATATAAAGGTTTTTCGAGCTGTTGTCATATTAAATACACATATTTCACTCTATATATTCTACGTGTGTGCGTCTCTGTTGTATTTAGTTAACCCGCGTGATGCATAATTTTTAGATAAAATTATATTTTTACAAAGTATTTAATTAATCACAAACATGGAATATTTTTTTATTTAAACGATTGTGTCCATGTAACATGATTACTAATTGTATTCAAATATATCTATGCCATTAAGTTTTTGTTCCGATCCAAACGGTGTAAGTTAAGAAATCTTACACATCGTTTTTTAATGGTGTGAAAGATGAATTAACCACAATACTAAAATTCGAGTACACAATCATCATATTAGTCAATGGACAATACGTCTTATTTAAATTTAAAATTACAGTTTAATATGATAATATGATACTATAGTGTCTACATCGTTTGTATGTCCAACAGAAAATTCACTAAAACTAATAAATTTCAAATTTGTTTTTGAAAATGATACGTTTCATATTAAGTACCTATATATTAAATCCAATAATATTGTATTCAAAATAAAAAGAAACAGAAGTAATTGGATTCACTAATAGCACATAGGCACAAATTTAATTAAACTATGATTGGGTTCGCTCGTAAAATTAAGTCTGATCACATCACTCACGTGTCATTTGTTTTTGAAATATTAAATATGTTCATTATATTATATACCTATGTGTATAAATTTATATTCAATATTGTATATAAAACACACGATATGGCAAATTGCATGTGACAATAATGGTGGGGTTTATATTGGTTCTTGTGCGGTCCCCGCTATTTTTGCTCTACAAAGACGTTCACAGTGAAAGAAACTCAAAGGTAAGGGAGGGGGGTGTACTTTCAAACCTCCCCGTCCCAGTGCAGTGCGCATATAGGTACCTTTGTTTCGTATAGGTGTACCGTAAAGATAGAAGTAATAATAATAATATATTTATTTTAAATTACTTTTAACTTTTGAGGATAATAGTAACTTTTGTTTGCAAGTGTACATTGTAGTATATTATTGTTTTTATTGACTTACAGAATGTGTTGGCTTAAGGGACTTGAAAATCCACGTCCCAGTGGCAGTACGATCTGGATCCATACTGCGAATGAACTGTACATACGATTTGGAAAATACAGCACTGTATTCAATAAAATGGTATCTGAGGGATCAAGAATTCTATCGATACGTGCCAAAAGAATCGCCTCCCACCCGTGTTTTTCCAATGCCTGGAATTATAGTTAATGTGAGTAAGAATAAATGATTTTAACCTTCTATACTGTATCTATTATACCGTATTAAACTGAAAATCGAATAACGGTTTAGTATAATTTCATTCAAATAGTCCGGTATAGTAAGTTCAAGAGTTTAAAATGTCAATTGATTTTGAGCTAAATATATTTTGAATTTTTGAATCATTTTCAGAAATTTAATTTTTTTCTTTATTACTTTTTACTCATATTTTTTCAATACTATTAGTGTATTATATTATTTATGTGAGAAATAGAAATGACTTTCGTAGTTTCGTACATCTAGAAACTTTATATTATATATTATGTAATTTATTAAGTAAATTACTTAAATAATAATTATATACATTTAGTGAATTAGTTGATTAGTTAAAATTTTCCATGTTCTATATTGACTATATTCGCATTTATAAAAAAAAACTCCGAAGTATGTTCTGCTTTGAAATAAGAAATTATAAATGTTGAAATTAGGTAACAGTTCTATCGTTCTGATATACAGGCTGCGTATAAGTTTATTCACAGGTACCTGTTTACCTGCACCAATACCGTTGAATAATTTATTCCGTGGCTATGTTCTAGTTGATCTTCTTAATGTTGTATATCAGTAACGAAAATAACAGGTAGATATTTTAATCCGAGAAAAATAAGTTTTTATGAGAGAAGTTATGTAATCTCATTACCAGATATCAGTTTTTAAAAACAATGTGTTTCACACTTTTACCTAGTGCAAACTAAAATGCAATTCACTAATTTTTTTTACTATGACCTACTTTTTTACAAACCATATGGCGACGAATACCCAAAATATTTAAAATAAAAATACCGTATGATGTTCCATGATGATTTTCAAATTATGAAGGAACTAAAAATAAGAACGATTTTAGAGATTTGTCAGCCAACCTCCACATGGTAACGATAGGTTGAAGTGTTTGAATTGTTCATTCAACATACTATCATCTACATTTATTATATTACTGATCTACAATAATAGGGGAATCAATTCGTACATACCTATTAATAGCCAGGGAACAAACTAATACCTAAAGTAAGTCTCGATAATCAACTCAACAACAGTGGATGTACAGTAGCTGTCGAGTGTTCCTTGTCAGTTCTCATTGAGTATAAGTCACTAGGTATGTAATGTATATTGTGATAAATCTGAACTCAATGCAATCATTGCAAACGAAAAACGATTCTGATTGAAGAAGGCCTGTCAGTCTAAATAGTAAATATTACTAAGTAATAATAATATTATATATTATATAAGTATAATATCATTCAATACCTTACCTCTGACAGCGGATTCCCTTTAAAAATATATTTTTATCCTGTGTTTTAAATCTTACATCAAATAAATTACAAATTTGAACATTATTCAGGGTTAAAAGTGGGATGAGTATGCTTACACAATCACTGTTTGTACATTACAAATAATGAAATACATTAGCCATTATACATAAAATTATAAATGGAACCCTTAAAACTATATTGAGACGTTAGTTCCCCCCCTGGAATTTGTTCCCACTTAATAAGCCCTGGATAAATGCAACGAGTTATCATGAAGTTCAAACTTATCACATCCATTAAAGTGACTTACTCGACGATGAAATACCTACACTCGACATATTATTCTTCTACTCAGCAGGGTGATTGCCCTTGTTTTTTATTTCTCATTAAGCAATTAGGTTCAAAATACATGTTTTTAATCGTCGTCAATTCTAATCATAATAATGAATTCCAACAAACAATATTAAATATTTATTTTGACTACATTAATAGGTGGGCTATACACATTAGTACATTACAGACGAATAAATTAATCGATAACGCCATTTAGACATATGGGGACATTACTTTTGATTTTATATAATCCCAGGGCAAGTTTGCGGTTTAGTTTTAATTATATTTGTGCACGTACCGGTTCATTAAAATAACTTCTATAGTCTTACATTACAATGCCAGGTTTTTACATTTATTATTGAACTAATGCCAAATATGAATTTCTGTGCCATTTGTTTTGTGTATACACACGTGCATAACAAATATAACGAGTGATTAATTATTTTAATATTTTATGTACGGTGCCTATTTAGAAAAGAAAACAATAATGTACAGTATTGTATTTACACGTGAGGTTTTATACTCGTGCATCGTGCATGCATTATCACGTCATACAAAGGTGTATTCAAAGGCATACAATTGCTTGTGGTAGGTGCCTACAGGACGGACGTCGGTTATAACAACACATTTTTAATTTTAGTTTTAACAGAACGATAGGTAATTAAAAATGTATATTCCGTTGTTTCAGCAACAGTATTATATTATTATTTATTTATTTGTAGGCACAAGCTTCACAGCGTTACTATTACTGACCACTGTAAAAAATTACGAATAAAAATTCATAAATACTATTAATTCGGTCGAATTGTACGGGCAATAATATTATATTGTATTGTGATGAGATTTACGATTCGTTTTCACAACTAGTTTTGGGCCATGATCATTGATAAAAACTACAAAAGGAAAATATTATAGAGAGAAAGAGGGCACTATTGATAAATGTGATCTAATAAAATACAAAAGGAAGGGATTATGGTCTATAGTGTTCAACAACTTCTATATCAAATCAAGTAAAAGTTTTATATAGCTCCGTTCTGTTGGACTATATGTACGATGAATAGAGCCAGTTTTATATTTCATTCGATTTTTGACGATTGAACTCTTTATTAGATTGTTTTTTCCTTTCACTTGTATTGATTCATGTATCGTTTCTGAAAACCCATTTCGTGTTTAATTTAAATTCAAAAATACAGTTAATAATACTCCCTAAGTGTTATTGTTGTGAATTTGTAATAACTTTTATTGTGACCAGCTTTATGTACAAGAATCAAAAAATATTGCAATTATTGATGAACATTCTTAAATCATAATAGTAATAAATAATGATACAATCATATTATATTATAATTTATTATGCAGTATTAAAAAAACAATATAATGATAATAAAACTACCTACTGTCAAAAAAATTTCAAATTATACAAAAAATTATATAACTTTATAGATATTAAGGGGACGTTACAGTGACATTTGTTGTCTCCGTCTCACAAGTGCGTAACATAGCAAATTTTAGGCTCAGCAAAACACGTTTATCTCCCTTTAGTTTTAAAATTAGAGCGAATTGACCTCTTATAAAATTTGAAGGCAAGATTATTATCTAGACAATGACAAAGGCTTTTTATTATAATTTAATTTTAAAGCGAGTTATGTGTATTTTAAAATTGTAAACGGTTTGTACACCTTAAAATACTCATAACTCGCTTTAAAATTTAAATATAATAAAAAGCCTATGACATTGTCTAGATAATAATCTTACCTTCAAATTTTATAAGAGGTCAATTCGCTCTAATTTTTAAACTAAAGGGAGATAAACGTGTTTTTCTGAGGGTAAAATTTACTATGTTACGCACTTGTAAGACAGACAAAACAAATGTAACTTTAACGGCCCCTTAAAATAAATTTTACCTTCAATCAATCATTCTTAGTATAATGACTGGGTAATCATTATTGACAATATTGACTATTGTAATAATCGAACGTAACTATCTATTACACTATAATAACAATACATCTTTCCCCGGCGATCTTGTTATTATTAATTATTTTTACAATAGTAATTAATAACAAAATGTTTAGTATAGAATAAAATCTTTACTATAGTTGTATTTCCCTTATTCTTGGCTTTTTTTCTTGAACACTTTGACTACATTTTGGTTCCATTGGTTGAACTAGTTTCTGACTTATTTTGGTTTTGTCTGGTTGAAGTTGTGTTTATCATCGTTGATTATTTTTAACTTTCAAAGTGAGATGCATTTCTTGATATTTGTTCACTATCCTTCTATATACTGTAACCATTGTAGTGGAAAAAAACTCATACATTATCCCTTTTCGACCGCGCCATTGTAGTAATCGAACGAGATTGTTTATTAATGTATTATGTTTATTAAATTGTAATATCGTAAATAGGTCTTATACTCTTATCATAATTATATGATTACAACAACGACTAATTAAGGTTAGGCAATGTTGACACTACGAAAATGACTAAAATTGGTATTCATCGCGTGGTAAATATTTAATTTATTTATGATTTTATTACTTAAATCATATTATAATATCATATTTATGTATTATGACATTATTACACTATATACATATCTATTAGTTATATTACCTATTATACTCACTATTCCTAGAATAAATAATGATATACATTTTTTTAAGTAATCCATAACATATTTAAGTGACAAAACCTGTATATTAAGTAGGCCTGTTTGCCTACGTAATATGACGTACTAAAAGAAAAAATGAACACGAAATAAATGATACTAATAATATTACAAAATAAATTGTTAACTACCTAGACACCAAATTGTAAATAAGTTGTATTTTTAAAATGACTTTATATATTCGTATCTACTTCTTGGCTCTAAGATAAACTTTCATTTAAAACATTTTTATTTTATTTTAATATACTAATACGCGTTTCTCATGTTTATGTAATATTTAACAGAAACACTAAATATCTGAGTAAAAACCAATATAAATATTTTAACAGTTAGTAATCTTTATCAGTTAGTAAAAGTTTGTAATCTTTTTACTTTATTTAGAAATGAACTGCAGCTGATGTACCCTATAACGTGATATGTAGCTATGCCGCAATAACATTGTTTGAATTCCCATGTAATTTGCATAAGCACTTTTAGTAAACAAAAAAAAAAAGAATTATTGAAGCAATCCGTTGAATCAAAGCCTTAGACCACTTAGTTTTTCTGCACATATATAGATGTAAAAGTAAATTTTCCATTAACCTATTTAAATATTTAAAACTCCTTCAGAAACTGTATAGATTATTGTGATAACGTTTTTTTGTTGTACCTAATTTGTATTATTTAAAAAAAAATACTTTGTTCTTTATGCATACAATCATTTGTTTAATGACCTCAATAAATTATGTAACAGTAATTCAGTTTATTTTTATCTTACCAATCCAACCATTTATACCTACTTTTATATTATTAACATTATATAAATAGTATTATGAAATTCCAGCTCATAATATTGAATATTACACGAAATGTTTAAGTATAATAGCTAGATATAGGTATTCAATCTAATAGGTTAGGTACACTATTATACACCGTACACTAGAAAAAAAGTACCTATAAAAAACTTTATTTCTATAGTGTTGTTATAAAAAAAATGTAATGGCTGTATTAATGTAGTAAAGTTCCAAGACATTTCGTAATTTTACATTTCCAAACTGTCTGTTTTTAGATTTGAATTTTTTTTTTAGATATCCTGAAATTTTACTCAAAATTGATCATAAGATAGTCTGCACATACACAAGACATACAACTTCGTTATTTCTCCAAAAATTAAGTGAAATTACTAGCAATTATATTGATTGTTGATATGATATTTATTATTGGCCTCGAAAACTATATCAAAATATTATGAGCAAAGAAAACGTAACAAAATCACAAATATGGATTTTAAAGCTCAACTCAGTAAACTTATACAAAAACAACTTTTTCAAATGTCTTTTCTAAATATTTTTATTAAATCACAAAGTTTTTTTGTTCAGATGTAGTGGTATTATTCAATAGTACAGGAGACCTGGGCAAAGAGAAAAAGGTTAATTTAAGTTGTCAAAATATGATACTAACATTTTACACAAATAACTTTTATTTTCATATTTAGGTACCTACTTTAAAAGAGTTGTAAAAATGCCATGCTTTGACTTGAGCAAATAAAATAAGAATATTTTAATAGTTAAATAAAAATTTGTAAAATGTAACACACTAGTTACTTTAATTGTGTACCTACCAGGCAAAGTGAAAACAATTCAAGTGAATATTATATATATATATATAGGTCATAAACTTTATTGTAACCACACATTTTTTTTATTGACAATTTTAACATGTTATTACTATTACATTTTTATTTATAATTATTATAACTAGACAGCGGCGGATTGGCTAAAAATTTCGGCCCGGGAAATAACCGTATGATCGGCCCACCGTCCAAAAATAATAATTGTCCATTAAAAAATTTTTTTTTTAGTCATTGTCTTATTTATTTCATAATAAATATTATATTTTTATTTAATATAATATCCACTCACTTACCTTTACTTTTTGCATCAGTGCTCATGCATCATGCAATGTGCACGTATAAAACAATATTAAAACAAATTTCATCTTCAATTTCATCATGATCATTATTGTCTTTGTCACTATAAGGCTGCATTGTTGTTTAGTACGACTAGGATACTGATTTTTTCAAATACTTCCAATTAACAGCAAAACTTAATAGTTCTGACTTCAGATTTTCATGTGTAATATCGTGATCAATTTTTTTTTAGTTTTAAGGCAAGATTGACAAAAGCTTCGTTTGATAGTTTAGAATTAATATGCTGAAAGTTTTGAGGTGAAAGCCAAGATAAATCAGTGTAAATCTGAGAGTTTGATACAAATCTTTTTTCCATACTACTAACTACCCCATCCATTACAACATTGTACACTTCTACTTTGAATTTTAAATATGGATCGCTAATAGGGTCATCTTCAACTGATTCAAAATGTTGTTTTTTTTTCGAATTCTTAATTGTGGTAAACTAGTTTCTATTAATAAATCATAATTTTTGTCTTCAGTATCTTCCAAAGTCTCTAATTTTGTATTTGTATTTTCAATAAATTTTGAAACAATATTTTTCAATTCTTGGTCATCTCTTGATATTAATTTTAACTGTTCTAAAGCTCCATAAGAATAACTTATAGGTAAAATCCTTAATATTTTAAATTGCTTACCTCCATTGCTTTATTTTTTACGTTTTGATTAGACATTATAGAGCGAATATTTTGGCATGACTTAGCAGAATCCGCAAGTAATTTTTGTTTTTTTCCCTTCATTTTTGCGCTCCACCTTTTCTTATTTTATTCAGGCAGTTTATAAATTTTTAGACAAATAACTAATAAGACATTAGAAATTTATAAAAGCGTTCTAGAGTAACCTAGAATATTATAGTCTTCATGCTGTTTAATATACAGTAGATAGTAGATACTATAAGGTCTATGAATGTTGAATGTAATCAACAAAACAGCTGTATCATTTAACACGAACATGTTACGTGATAATAATATTTTTATCACTTTACCTTAGTTCACTAACCATGCAGCTATTATTTATAGAATAAATTATTGTAGAATTGTTTACATCACGTTTAGGTTTTTATAACAATAACAATCGTATCTTATAATTAAATACAATATACTTAAAAATAATTTTTAATCCAAAATATACATCGGCCCAGAGTTATAATACGACAACCGGCCCACCGGGAACTTTCCCGGTATCCCGGTGGGCCAATCCGCCGCTGTAACTAGATACCAATATAGTTTATAACAAAATAATTAAAAATATTCTGACAATAGGAAAAGTGAATCATGTTAAACAACCAAATAAATACAACAACTTTCCATTTAAATACTTAATAATTCAAAATAACTTTGAACAAATTTAAGTTTAAAAAAATCATAAATATTGATATATTTAAATATTTCATATTATTCATTATATTATATTAATACTGCACTTAGTCTGGATTATTTTTTTTATTTTTTTTTTTTGAAAAAAATAATTTGTATTTGTTAAGCCACAGCAAAATATCAAGCTCCTTATAGAAATATATTTCTCTTTCCGGTAATTTCATTTTAAATAACAAGTATACAAGTTAATAATTTTTATCACTAATGAATTAATAGATTTAAAACTTGATTTATTTTACTTATACAAGTATACAACTAGTTTTAATTAAATCTTCTTATCACTTTCTAAGTCGTGTCTAAGAGTGTACCACCTGGCACCTACCTACCACACCCGAATATAGTGTCTCGCTGTCTTACAAACGTTCAACGTTGAACATTTGTGTTTGGCAGTTCCAATTTTATGTTGTTAGTTATAATATTATAGTGAATTGGCCTATTATCACTATTTAAGCCTTAAAGTAAGAATAGTATCTGTTTTTATTTGATATTTTATTGATATATTATATTTTTAAGCTAGATACGAGTATGTGAAATATCACAATTTGAACAAAATGTTAATACCTCTTGCCTTAATATTAAAATATTGAAAAAAAAATTGACAGAAAAAAACATGTTCTTGGATACTTTTAGATTTTATAATAGAGTTTATAATAGGTAAATTCTCAATTAAATTAAAACTATTTAACACAACATTGGAACTTATGAAAGCAAATGTTGTATGTAGTACTTTGTAAGACTGTTGCAACACCTGCAGGTGCGATGTCCTCTTACGCCGTCATGGTAAAGGTGATAAGTATTTAACGATCATGTTGATATGTTTACAGTGCATATCACTGACTTACTGTACACAATAATCGTATTGTTATATTTTAAGTGTTATTGACATTATTCACTTTGCCCGTGTCTCTCCTACCTAATATTAATCATGTAATCCTATATTGACTACTGTATAAACTATACTATAGGTACTATAATATAATTATATTGTATATATTAATTATATGATAGCTAATAAGTAATAATACTTTTATTTTTTTTAATCTTAAGCATGCAAATAATGTGGCTTTGACTTAAATAAGTTATATTATAATAGAAAACAAAAAGCACACCCAAATAAAATAAGTCTAATAATCATTGTTTTAAATTGTATTCTGTACTACCATAATTAAATTGACACTAAACCAATGTTTCAACTATTTTTAACTAAAACTGATGTTTTGTCATTAAAAAACACTGTCACATTAAGCGGAAAAGCTGTGGGCATTTAGTGGAACATTGTACTAAATGTATTTATCAACATATTTATATATAATATGTGATATTATGTCATTTTAAGACACTTAATCAAATTCAAGAGTGTTGAAAACTTGAAAGTGCATATTATAATATGCGACTATACGAATATACGATTACATATTATATTTCACATTTTAGTATATTATACTATAAATATTATAGTTATTAAAGTAAATTGTATAAATATTTTGGCTGTTTTCAACCATAACAGGTGTAACAGAAAACCACGTAAAAAACTATAGCTGCCATATTGGTTTATTAAATAATAATAATACCTGAATATAAATATATTATACATAATATTTTAATATTTATTATTGGAAATGTTACACATGGTGAACATTTTAATATTTTGATCAGCCATGTAGGTAGTCATTAAGTCTATACACTATGACACAATGCATTATATATGACGTAAACAAATTACAGTTTAAAAGTTTAAATTGGCCAATTTAATGAAATGTAATTTTGTATTTAGGTACAAGAATCTGACGAGAACAAAGTAACCATTGTGAACGTCCAAAGGGAATTGACGGGATATTATAAATGCGAAGTCTCAGCGGACGCACCGCTATTCCACACCGGTATTAAGACCAAACTCACATATGTCACTAGTAAGTAGAACAATTTTTTTTTAATGCAAAAAAAACAGGGAACTCTCTTCTGCTGCATAATGGTTATAGATTTTGAGTGTACAAATTAATTGTAATCATAATTTAAAGATAAATCATAAATCAAATATACGTAAAACAATTCTGAACAAATACGTAAGAGTGGGTCAGCAAATATTTAGAGGATAAATAATATATTTGTTGAAAATATCAACTTTAAGGTTATTCCTTTCTGAGTTACGATAAAAAACAAAAATCGGTAGGTACCTACTGTAGTTGAAAACTGGTGCTACTTAAATATTCCCGTTTTCTTACTGTTTTAGTTGATTTTCTGAAAGTATTTATTAGGATTTTCCTACTTTTAATCCCCCCCTCCCTGATTTTTCCTACTAAGTACCCACTAGATTGAATTTAATACCAGAAACCAAAACCTCTAAAGTTGAAAACAACAGCAAACCATTTACTCCAAAAAGAGATGACAAACCTGAAACCACATTAAAAAAAATATCAGTTCTTTAAATAAATCCAATATATTCCTCTAATCCTCTCTACGCTCATGAACTAAACGGTTAAATCAATATTCTAACAACGTAAGCGAATTAATATGTATCTCTGGTTAGGTACAGTACCTGATATCGTATTATTATTGTTTAAAAAGTGCATAAACTACAAACACCAATTATACTGCACCCAGCATCCTGTCCCCTGAAACCCGCCAAGCCAGCAACAATAATAATAATAATCATCATCATCATATTATTATTATTATTAATATTATATTCTATTACTATCGCAAAACCATATTACAACGTGAAAGGAAATTCCAAAGTTATTAATACGCACACTTCTGCAGTTCTGCAAAATGTTTAATTATTACATCGTTGTTCGACGACTACACACCGTTCCATAATATTATATGTATATTATATTGTATATAATATGTGTGTATATATGTGAATATACTACACATATAAATGTATATGTGCATGTAATATATGTATATATATATACATACACATATATATATAGGTATACATCATGAATAGCGTTTGAGCATATTATTTTAAAGCACAAAACCGGGATGATACCATTGTTATATGTGTTATATACATGTATATTGTGAATATAGTATAATGTGTATACGTATTTACTACTACTGTTGCCGCCATCACTTTACACTCCCGTTTCCAACTGGGTAATAATAATAATAATAATAATAATAATAATAGTAATAATGTTGAAGGTGGCGGTGGCGAAATTTCTCTATTGTCCCCGCCCGTCCCTTCGGAATCGGTCTGTAGGATCGTTTACATTTACAATTATTATTATTATTATTGTTTTAAGTCCTAATCCACGTCGGACATCCAAATGTCAACACATCACAACCGGCTGCTAGACTGATAGATCGCATAGAGACATACGGTTTAAGACGTGTTCTCAAAAAATCAAAACGAACGAATTTAACCAAGCCCCAAAGTTGTTTAAGGTTAGTCCAATCAGAAACACAATAAAAAAAATTAATTCATTTCATCACCAAATCTAAGTGAAACCATATGAAAAAGTTTTCAACAAACTTTGGCGAAAAACTACTGAAATTATTTCAACGAAAATGGTTCGTTACGATTTTCATTGAAACGCCTCCAACTATATCTTAATATACGAGTCTAACCAAAGGCATAATATTCTTATATCAAACCCTATCATATATTTTTCCTAGCACTTTTTCCAATAAGAACAGTTCGAGAAAACTACGAGGGTATCATCATTCCCAGGTGGCCAGGTAGGTAGTATAAAATGCGGATAATTTTAATAGTAAATATATTATAACAAAACTGTAAAAAATAAACATTATTAAGTAATGATCAATGCTATATTAAATATTGTTTTAAAAAAATTTGAAGAGAATTAATTTTAATAATTAAACTATTGTTATTATATAATATATACCTATATATTATATATTATATTTTATATGGTACTACCTTTACAGCTTTATACCTAATAATAATGTAACTTAATACTTATTAGTTATCATTTAATTATACCTATACAAAAACGAATAATTAATTTATAATGGAATAACTTTACAAAACATTACTGGTTCAAAAGGTGTATGGACTATCTGATGGAGCATGAGTGATCTATAGAAACTACGTAATATTAGTTTCGTGTTGTCATTTTAACTTGAAAATGTGCTATTTCTCTGTCGACGCAGATATCATGACTTGACTAGAATATAAAATATATCATGATACCTACTTATTTATAACATTATATTTTAGACGACTGATTTTTAAATGTAGGTACCTAGGTGTAAACGTGTAACGTGTAGTACCTTTACTATAAAAACGAAATATAATCGTTTTACAAGTCTTAGATAGATGTTCATGCCTAGGTACCTAAACAATTGCATTTTCGTGAAATGTCATTCTGATTAATTTATTAAATTTTCAAACGGTTTTAATTCGTGCTAGAAAACCAATGCTTGGACCATGAATATGAAATTAAATTAGCGATCGATTGCCAGTTACATTTTACATTGTTCGCGTAGAATAACCAACTTGATCTGAGCGATTTCTCGCTATTTTAATGGACCAAAGAACTGTGTATATTTTTGGTATTATGAATAATGTATGAATATTAATTCAAAAATATAAGTTTTGGTGAAAAAAAAACCATCTGAACACTCTCAGATGTACATTTGGGAACGCATTACTGTCAAAGAAATTCAGACTTGCTGCGCATCGCTTGTGTATGCATGAAAATGTTTCGTCCCTTTTGTAAGTGCCCGTCAAGTTTCCTAGGGTATCATAAAAATCTATAGCATAATACGTCGAATATTCGCTTCGAGAAACGCATACTAAATGTTTTTTAGCCTTCGTGGTATTTAAACTTGTGCATGCGGCGACGTGTTCGGTGTAATTTCGTATAACTTTTATTTTCTGGAAATAAAAAATAACTGGGTCAGTTAAACATTGCAGTGACATGATTAATGAAACGTATTGAGATAAGCTGCAAAAAGCCGGACTAAATCGGTTAATGGATTGAATCATTTTTCTAGCGTCTCCCCCAAAAACAGGGGAAATAGATCCTATCATGCAACGTTGCATTAATAATTTCAAAATTTTGTGGTTCATGGGCTTTTTCCAATAATGTTAAAATATTGAATAATAAAAAATAATAATTAAACTTATTACTCTGCGCGTATTATACTCGTCGTGTTGTTGAGGAAAGACAAAAAACATATAACTTTATTAAAATGTAGGATGGTATTATTCTATTATTATCATACATTTTTTTTTTTTTCATAATTTTAAGTAACACAATTTTAACAAGTTACAATCAACAAAATTGTTTGTTGATAAAGAACTACTGCAACTCCCCCAGCACTAGTTTATAAGCCTATATAATTGGGTGAGCTACATGAAAGTATTTATATATTATTTTATTTTCGTTTATATTTGTACGGAATTTTTTTAAGTAAAATATAATATATTCTTTGAAAATAGTTTTGATAATTTATAAAATATATCTAATATCTATTATTAATTTGAAAAAATTACTATTAGTACCTACTGTTATTGATTACTCTGATTACACTTAAAATTCTTACATAATTCTTACCTAGATAATTTTTTTTCAAATTTCTAAGTATTTATTTTATTTGTACTTAAGTAAAACTATATTTTATTTTACCATGACATCCAACCATCAATAATGTGGTAAAGTACAAAATATTTTTCAGAAAACGTTTATGTTTTATCGTTTGATTTTTGGTTAATAGTCTATTGAAGTTTATAGAAACGGAGTTATGCAATAAAAATACACAAGGGAAAAATAACTCTTACCACTTTTCTTGATACAACAAATAAATATAACTTTATTGTCTAATTTATATTATGTGTCGAAAGTTAAGCATTTATTATTTATCACATCAAAATGTCCAAATAAATATTTCAAACAGTTATATTTACGGACATCTCATACAAAAATGATAAAATCTACTTCACAAAGTTTTATTCTATAAGAAATAAGAATAGTGGGGAAACATTTAACATGCCCACACCTTTTTTTTCTTTAATACAGTTATTCAAAATTTGATTTTTTAAATACACTCAAAGACCATATTTTTGAATAGGTAGGTAAGTACTTGACATTAATTTTTTTTAGCCATTTAATAAGTGCCATGTAGATAAAAACTTCTGATTTTCAAATGAAAACCTCCATATTTTTATTCAAATAATTCAGCAGATAATTTTTTTGAAAATTTTAATCACACATCTGAATCAAAATTCGAATGAATAGTTTCCGAATTGTTAAATATTATTAACTAAGAACATTATGGGTTAGGAAAATATGGAGCTAAGATGATTTGAATAAGGCTATATATTTTTATAAATCTGTGCTGTATTGGTTTATGCATTTGTGCGGTATTGGCCCATATTTGTGTATAACATATCATCATGTTATTATATTATTATTATAAGACTAATGAATAATGTACAATAATAATATGTACTCGCAAATAATGAATATATTTTATTGAAACAAAATTTGGCTACACATTGTAATATGTATGCCTGTATAGTGTATACTAATGTTTACTACGTCATTATACTATTTCAGATGAACCATCGTCCCCTCCGACGTTGCAGTCAAACAGAATGAAGTACTCAGCGGGTGATCTAATTAACGTCAGTTGTATTGCAGGCGAAAGCTATCCAGCTGTCAACATTAGTTGGTTCTTAAATAATCAAACGGTATTTTTCTATATTTAATTTAATTTATGTCATTGAAACACAAATCCACTTGAAAAGTCAAAACGTTCAGTTTTGTTTCGTGATTGTTGCTAATTGATAATTATCATTTTAGATAGTTGGGTACCTACCTACTTTACCTACGTATTATGTATACCTGAAAAACAACACATGATTATAACTACCTACAGTATAATATTGTTAAACAAAATGTTTAGTTTTTAAATTTTTCAAGAGTTGATGGAAATATAACTAATTTTTTTTTAATTTGAATTGATGTTAATAGGTATTTTAAAACTAAAAACGATTTCATAGAAAAATGCATACCTAGAAACGTTTTATAAAAATATAACTTTCAAATTATTAAAATGTTTTCTAAATTCATAATTATTTTTATAAAATATAACTCGATGATGCATATACATTTTAAATAATATTAATCGATTTTAAGATGCGAAGACCCAGATAAGCTTAAAATAATAGGTATCACAAAATGCAGTCATTTATTACAATAATTGATTTTTTTTTAGTATTTCAGTCTTAAAACATATTTAAAATAACAATCATTATTGTTATACATTGTTTAAGCATTATGTTTAATACAACAAATATTTTTAAGACAAACTGAAATAAACATACAGAATCACCAGAGGGCAATAACTTAAAATGTAAATACATATATAATTTGATTTTTATTGAGGTAATAGGTATACTTATATTATATAATATACATTTAATAATTTAATATACTCATTAAAAACAACGTCAAAGAAAAACACTTTCGACTAAGTAAATATTATCTATTTATAATACCTTGAAAGTTGCAAAAAATTAACTTCATCTTATATAAACGAGAGTTAAAAACAGGTTAGATTTAGTTAAATTTTTAAAATACAATTCCCAACTTTAAAAATTGTGTTTTGATAATTATAATATATTATTTATACCTATTAAGTATATTTTTTAATTTGAGAGTAAATAATGATAAATTATCCTAGTAAATACATTATTTAGGTACCTAAAGTCTATAGTAATTAAGGAAAATATTGCATTATTTTGTATACTTAATCCTAATAAGAAAATTTATCGCACAGTTGTATTCAAAACAGAATAATTTATATTTGTTTGCTACATTTAAATTCATCGATTTAAAGTTTTTATCATTTTAATCAATTCCCTTTGCATTATTAACAGTTTAAGTTAAAGTTTTTTTTTAAAAATCTCGAGTAGGTACTAAAATATTAAAGGAAATGAAACAGTAGTATAAAGTATAAAGAGTAAAAGAAACATTTTCTTCATTTCAAATTTTAAACATTTATACTTAGATTTATACGAATTTGAAATGCAAACCATATTTAGGTAGGTAGTAAGTAAATAGAAAAATTAATATTCAATACATTCAGTTTGAAGACAATTACGCAGCTGTACTACTTGACTTCATAAACCCATTGATATATTATTATAATATTATAATGTCAAATTAGCGGAAACAATAAGCACGAATATGGAGTGTTGAGTATAGAATGGGCGTATCTAGGATTTAATATAGTTACAGGAGTCCTAGAAAACTTAAGTTCGAAATAAGTCGTGGGGTATAAGTCCCTCACAACCCCAACCATAAGGATCTCTAGAGTTTAGAAGTCACTGCAGGGACTGTAAGAAGTCCTGTAAAATAAAAGTTTAAAAAACGACCACCTCCCGAAGTGGCATCCGCGGGGGGGGGGGGGCTAACGGGCTAAAGCCCCCCCCCTATTGCCCCTATTATTGTTAGTTTTCAAAAAAAAATATTTATCAAGTTTCAACTGTCAACTATTAAATAGTAAGCAAGACGTAAATTTCATATACGTCTTACCAGAATTAATTTGTTTTTGAAAAAACATTGTATTTGCATACCAATTATCCTAAAATTATCTGTAACTTTTCGGTAAAAGTATGAACTGCTTATATGAAAGACCTTGTATTAAATTTTATAGTCTTAGCTTATACAAATTTAATATTTTATAAGTTTGAACTACAAATTAACTGTGGTTTTGACGAAATTTGGACTTTAAATGCTTATATAAAACATAACCATGATGCCAATATATCGTTAATATTTTAGCTATAATAAAAACTTATGTATTACAATAATTTTAAGGTTTTTGACCGAATAAATATATAAATTTATAGAAAAAAAAAATTTTAATTAATCAAATACAATTCAAGTGATGACGGTATAACCAAGCTGGTTACCAAACAATTTTAATACATTTTCATTTTTTTTCTCCAATTATTTTAGAAAGCACTGAGCATTTTTAATTTCGACCTCCTAAAAGTACCAACTAGATCCAATTTGCTTCCAAAAAGATACATCGGGCATCAAAGTTTATGATCAGAGCATTTTTTCTACCAGAAAAGTTGAGAAGTTAGGTACAAACATTTTAAAATACCTTAAATAAAAGTCTGAAATTATTAGACTGGTCAAAATAAAAATAAAATTGTAACAAATTTTCAAACCCCCTCCATTGAAAAACCCTGTGTACGCCAATGCCCTGGCGGTCATTAAAAATAAAATGTAAGAAATAAAATAAATATAATATAATATTGTATGTCCATAAAGGCACAAAAACAGGATAGGTACACCCTATACCTCAAATACTTAGACTCTACTCAGTAGTCAGTACCCTATACAATTCTTTTAATGAGACTAACTGAACTATAGGATCATAAATTCCTATGACTTACAATATTGGTTAACTCTTGCATTTTGTGCATGCCCCACAACCTAACTTTTTCTGTGTACCCTGTTTTTTGCGGACACGTGGTATATTTTATAACTGTATACCTACGAGTATTTTTGGATGCAAATGTTTATAGAACATCATTATCGATTATCTTATTAGACAATTCTCTTTCTATATATTTATAATAGCCGCTAGATCACTGAATCTGTTTTGAGTAATAGTCGACCTGATTTAAGTTTTGACTATTCTCCTAACACACAAACCCTAGTTACCCAATTACGAGGTGTCTCTTCTTTTTTTATTAAATTTAATACCACATTATATTTCTGGGTAGATATACACCTCATTTTAATAACTCTAAATCGCATTCAGTGAACCACATTAATAAAATAATATTGTCGTCTGGGACGCACATTTTTCGAGTAGTAGTAGTTTTGGGCACCTCTACTCTTATTGTCGTGTACAAACACTGAAGGCGACAAACTATAATGTTAAACATTCTATTGTTGGACAAAAAAATTACAGTCGACGGCCAAAAACCAAACCTAGTGTGCGCTGCACCCGTACCACGGTATGACAATAATTGCATTTAAAGCGCGTAAATGCATTACGGAAACGCATCGTTACCGTTGGCCGCATAAATTCGTAGGTAAAACGCAAAAACAAATGCTGGAGTGTGAATTATTATTAAACGCTATAAATCATAACTCATAATATTCAAACCATTACCATAATATTTTAACCACATCTCTGGCGCACGGCATTTTGACCGCTGCCGAACGTTAAACGTCCGAACACAGTTTTGTGCAAACACAATTATTATTATTATCCTGTTAGGTATGCACCGTTGTAATTGCCTGCAAAATAAATACTTTTCGATCGTCCACTGCGGCGCTTCCAAAATACTCGGGTAATCAAAACAAAAACAAAAAAAAAAATCAGCTGCATTGATAAAAGCTCGTCAGTAATAATTAATATAGTGTAACAATAATTTGCTACCTGTTGCTACCTGTTACCCGGTCGTCGGTACGTCATGCACACACACCCCCACGATTTACCGACCAAACTCGTGCGTTTCAATCTAATTCGAACACGAAAATTGTGTACCTATACTGAATATTTTGTTGTATTTACCGATTTTCACAATCCATAATAATAATAATAATTATTGCTAAATTACAAAAATATACGGTTCGACATATTTCCACGATCCGTACAGGTACGAATGTACTATGTATAGGATGTTCTGGCATTCTTCACGAGTATAGTTATATTATGGTTGACGAAATAATAATTAATCGTGAGTACCGCAAATTGTATTTCATTTTTTGCGTTAAACGTGAAATTTTTTTCATAATTCCAAACGCCGCAGAGTAAATATTAATTGTATGTTATATACATTATACATGAGTGTTATTACTTCATGAGTGGACCTACCTATGCGTTATTCCGAGTAACAACACTATACATATTATTATATATGATTTTAATAATTGTGTTACTTATATTTTGTTTTATTTTCTTACCTATTATTATAAGTGCACGATAATATAATATAATATTTAGACTAAGGATTTCATCACGATTGTTTGTGCAAGCCATTCGAATAAAATTCTTAATTATTTTTTTTTTTATCTTATAGTTGATACGCTTTGACTTGCAGTTAGTCTTATTTTGTGTTGTCTAAAGCAATACGTTTTTTTACTATATTTTCAATAAGGTTTGTTATCATAAACATAATTTTCCTTCCTGTAAATACTAACATTATATAAAGGAAGGTATATATATATTCTTTTTTTTTTAATTAAAAAGATACATAATTGTATTTACCCATTATTAAGATGATTATTCTTATTTTATTTCATAAATAAATTAAACAAAAATTAAATTACTTAATATATATAGGTACCTACTTAAGTTGTAAATTGAAAACTTTTTATACCTATATAGTAAAACCGGAATATCCATAAATACCGACTTGTGCTGTTTAGTGTTTACCCAAGACACGCTTTTGATTGGTTACTCCTCTATTTTTGTACAACTTACCCACATTTGATCCATTTTCCGGAGTTTCATAAATCTTAATTTTGAAGTTTATAACCAATTTACCAAGTATTGCTCATGAAAATCCGGCACTAAGAATTGATTTTAACTTTCAGTCGTTTCTGCTATCAAACGAATTTATAATAAATGTACCTACATAATATAACGTCATAGTTCATTAAATCAATTTAATTTCTGTGTAAAGCGAAAAATGATTTTTTTCATGCATTTCAATCATATAATAACTATCATCACACGGAGTAGTAGTTCTACAAGCACCTATTTAATTTATAATATTTTTTAATTCGTCAATTTATTGTAAAAACATTAAGAGTATATAATATAAACTAAACTTTTAAAACAATTCTCTCTTAAACTCTTTTTTGCATCAAGCCCTTTCCGCCACTGAACCTCAAGAAGACATCGGAACTATATGTGTTGAAGTGTTAACACGGTCAAACGAACGCTTAACATAATATTATCACATTTTATGTTCAGAATAATCCATTTAACTCCGTAATTTTTAATATTATTGACTTTTTATTGAATTTAAAGATAAGAATACTATTTAGGGCCACTCGAAAGTTTTCGTTAATATTTTAATTTCAAAAAAGTTATGAACATTTTAAAATTGTAAAATTTTTGTAAGATTTTAAATACTCATAACATATTTAAAATTAAAATATCACAAAAAAGTCTAAACAATATTGCCATCTTTAAATTCAATAACAGGTAAATTCGCTATAATAATAAATAACGTAATAAAATGGATGATTTGAACGTCAGACAACACAATAATACACATATACTTACAATTACGAATTTAAGATGCCCCATTTCAACAAACTTATAAAAATAAAAATTTTATATTTTATAATAAGCAATTTAAAACTAGTATGCAATGATCTTAAGTTAAAATCTTCAATTTTCGCTTCACCCCCTACAAATAGATGTAGCGACACTATTATGGGTCACCATATCAGATACTAATCAGATTTCAAACTATAGTCCAAACTGTGGTCTGTGGTTAATAAAAATAAATAAATTCCTACTTATGTTGTGTGGCTCGTGCGCTAAGGCAATATTTCGATATCTGATGAAATGCAAGTGCCACACACGCCACTTACGACTAAAGTAGCTCACCTTCCGCCCCTGCATACATACTATTTTATACCAGTAATTCCTATGGATTTAAATATTAAATCGAGAGTAATTATTATTGTATTTTATATTAAATGAATGAACTACCAATATTTTTAAAACAGACCCAAACTAAATCATGTGTTAATAAAAAGTAAATTTTGGTACCTAGTTCATTTAAATGTATAGAGTTATCGAATAATTAGATATACATAATTTTGTATAATATAAAATTGACTAGGTATTTAGTATTTACCACACAATCAACTGTCGTTTAAAAAAAAAAAATTCTAATTTATACACAACAACGTATGAAGCAAATTTTTATTAACATAATATAACATTCTTATTTTTTTTTTTTTATAATTCTGTTCAGGCCGAAACCATGAAATCGGTACATATCAATACCGTTTTCGAACATAAGGACAAGGTTACTGAAATGGTTTCCATGAGATCTTATCTAATCACTAGAGCTAGTACGTTGTTATTTCCGACTGGCCGCATTAAAGTAATGTGTGAAATTTATCAATTCGACTTATACAAATCGTCGTCTGAAATAGAACTGGTTGACAACGCACCACCAAAATCGGCACAAGTCATCGCTCCGAGTCTGTCACCACATTCTACAGGTAAAATAAGAATCAATAAAATGTGAAAACTTTTTATAGTCTAGAGCAGTGGTCTCCAAACTTTTTTATTCAAGGGCCATTTTTAATTTTATGATAATATAGGTACCTACCTATATAAATAATATGTTTACTTTATATTTTTGTGTAAAATATTGTTTACTTTACAATATACTTAAATAAAAATAAATAGGTATAAATTTAATATAATATAAATACATTTTTTTTTTATCTATATTTACCTATACGTCCTATGCGGGCCACGAGCCGGTTAAAACTTGTTCGCGTGCCAAAGTTTGGAGACCCCTGGTCTAGAGTTTTACCCTAATCATGTATTTATGCTACATAATATTACTATTTACTAGGTATATTAGATTGAATGTCGCTCGTTCAATTTTATTCAAAACTTGTGTATAAAAGTATTACTTACCTAATGTTGATAACTTATAAGTACTTATATAAAGGTATACAATGGGATATAATCAACTGAATTTCGTAATAAAAAAAATTATACGATTTTTTTATATAATTACAATTTAAAACATTGTCATAAGATATTATAATTTTATTAGCCATTTTATTAGGCTCCCGACAGTCATCGAGCGGGCCTGTGTGGGTAGTTCTGTAGTAGGTGTTCTCACTTTAATATATCAATCAGTACCTAGGTAATAACACGTTTAAACATACCTATCTATATTATTTTTCATATAAATAAAAAATATGAATGTCGCTTTTTTCTTCACTCGTAATTTTAAAAACTACCCGTCTGATTCACTTGGAAATCAACATAAATATTCAGCTGGATCTAGGGAAGGTCGGCCTATATGAAGTATATCTATACGAGAATCACTTCAAATCTCTTCCGATATTCTATTCTTTTTACCCATTGATTTTTGTTGAAAATGTGTCGTTTTACCTTAAAATGCATATAAAATGTCAAGACTTAATTTCTGTTTTATCATTCTGAGTCAACAAAATAATAATTTACTATTATAATTAATAATTTCCGATCAATAAACAAAATTATAAGGTCCTATCCATAGACAGTTGAATGATGGCCCGGGTGGAGGTAACGCCAGCTAGTCGATAGTAAAATTATTGACAAACGTTATGAGAGCTAAGAATTTTTAAATCTTAAATAAAAATTGTAATGATGCCATCATTATTAGAGAGCCCCTGGTGACTTTTCTCTAAATATTATTAAAAGTTGGTTTATAAAAAAAAGGTGGGAAAGGGATACTGCTCTTCTGTACAGAAGGTGTCTATAGGGATCGCTGTAACAGATGTTTTAAATTTGAATTCACTGATATAAAATCATTGCAGGTAAACGAAAACGATTCTGAGCGAAGACGGTAATTTGTCATCCCACTTTATTACTAAGTATATTTCATGATATCATTGTTATTAAAGTAATTTATTTTACTATTAAACAATACCTACCAATACTAATACAGTATAGGTTAGTTAAATAAATTGCATTTGACATAGGTATTGATTATGTGTATACAATATAATTATATAGTTATTCGATGAGGTATAATATCGATGTGTACCTATAGAATCTAATAAAAAAAATATGATTATATACTTAAAAGTTAAAAATAATCAAGTATACCATCGGTTCATAAACGCGTTGTTCATAGTTTAAATATCTAACTTCGTCCAAATTTTAACATAAAAATCATCATTCGTGAAGAATTCATTGTTTTACAAGTGAATATTCAATTTCAAAAAAAAATTTAATTCAAACACTCATAATAAATTATTTTGACTTTCCACTACCTACACTTTTATTATGTTAAATCTAGGAAAACTTACGAGGAATCTTGTATTAAATTTTCAAATATTAGCTATGCAGAAAAAAATTTTTTATGAATTTTAATTTTAATTTCCAATTACAAAACAATTTGCAAAGTTGACATTATTTTAACGAAATTATCAAAATCCCAATTTCAAACGTTCACAAAAATTATGTAGAATTTATGCTCTACTTTTTTGGTCATTTCTACTAACAACAACATATTATTATGAGGAACATTGTACATTCAGTTTTCTAGTTTTTTTAATTTTTATCGATAATAACTTTAAAAAACTTGAAAGTTTGATAATGTATAGAAAATTGTCACAAAAACATACTACATATTTATAGTATCTACTGTTATTACTTATTAGTTTTTGAGAAACGTACACCAAAAAAAACTAAATCAATTTTGTCAGAAACTGGTTTTGAGTAAAAAATCTCTGTTTTTCCTTTTGAAATAGAACGCATTTGAAAACTACTAGGAATTTTCTACTTTTGACCTCCCAAAGTACCAACTAGATTCGCTTTCTTTCCAGAAAAGATGCTGAAGTAGAAAATCGAAGCATTTTTATTTCCCCAAAAGCAAAAGGTGATGACAGACACGAAACAAGAATACAACAAACATCATTCTAAAATTAATAATCGCTCCGCTCAGAATCTAAAATGTTAAATCGTATAATTATACGTTACTTATGTTATAAAATATTTGAAACATATTTTTTTAAATGTTATATTAACAGCAGTTAACAGCAACAGGTGGTACAACAATGAAGCGAGATGCATTAGAAAGCGTTTTTTATTCTTTTATAGTTTTATGTATAGAATTAATTACATAATGATTAACTAACTATAGCACTAAAAGTACCGACCATTCTCGATATCCAATAGGTATACTTCACTCAATCTTTATTATTATCGGATTTTGTGAAAGTGTATATTTGCTTTTGCAAGTATATATTATTACAAATGGTAGACAAATACAACAAAATGTTATACCACTGATCACTATAAATACTAACCATTTTTTCTTTTCATAAAATATTTCTTACTTTTAGGTAAAGCTCCAAGATTACAGAATTGGGCATCAATTACGTTCATCATGTTATTTATCGCCAACACCAAACTACTGTAATTATAATATTCATAACTGAGATGGAACTGACCGGCTACGTTACAATTATTCAAATAATACAATAAAATATAAAATAATAGAGAGTCGATAATAATATAGTCTTATAATATTTAAGATAATTAAAAATATATTATGTTATATTATAATGATGTTTACCTATTGACCTGTGCAAACACTAGAGTTTTTTTTTTTTAATTAATGTGTTTTATTAATTTGTTGATTATGTGTAATTATTATTGTTAAGCTGATAAAAAAAATTATTTGGTATAATAATTGTTGTTATTATTTATTGTGTAACAGTTATAAATGTTCTTTTTGTCAATAATCGCATCTGGCCAAAAGTCACTCGACAATTAATTATTCAAGAAACAAGCAACTGTTTTATTTTAGAGTAAAAATCTCGGGGACCGTTAGTCATAAAATATATTACTATTTAAATAAAAATAGGTAATAATAAACAAGATTCTATGATGGGCTTTTGGGGTAGGTACTTAAGTAAAAGTCAGTAAATATATGTAATAATATGTATATTATATTATTTTGTCAATTTATAAACATATTTGAGCTAAATATATCAATTTTCGAGTGGTCAAATTGAATACATATTATTTTGGTTGAATAAAATAAAAACGAATTTTTTGACAACAATAATAATGCCTACCAACGTCCTACTTATATAATTATCCTTAGAAAGTAGGTAATAGTTGTTGCATGTTGCCATATATAATGTATTTCTAGTACCTATACTTATACAAATACGGAATACTGGATGGATACACAAATTATCGGAGGAAAATGTGAAAACTGAAAAGAAAAGTTTAAATTTAGGTAGGTAATATAAGTGTGATTCATACTAATAATTTTGCATAAGGTAGATTGATAGAGTAAAATATTAAAACATTCATATATTATATTTTGATATGACATTATATTAAGGAATACGAGTGTTAAACTGTGACGATTGGGATTTTCCTGTGTCGTATAATATTATGATAACAAATTAACTATGGTGTAATGCTAAGACTACGTCCCACGTGTCCGAATGAGCTTACATAGGTACATAGAAAAATCGACTATATACATTGACACATTAAAGGACATCATAACTATAATTTAAGTTTTAAGATTATTGGTGAATAAAATAACAAAATAAAAATGTAATGTCCAAATAATGAAAAACTGTTTGGTAAAAATCCGAAGTTAAAAAAATGATTATTCAACGAGATAATGAAAGTTGATGAATAGCTACGTGACGTTGTTGAGCTGACGAATTATCAGCCGCCCATGTTTTACGTGTAACGTTGTTTGTTTTTCACAATGATTTTTATAAATTAAAATAGTATTTCAGAATTTTTTTTTTCATTATCCTAAGTATATTAATTAGGTGCTTAAGACGATCGCGATGGTGAGATTTAAAATGTAATATATTTTGTTACCACCGTATACATATTATAAGTTATAATTAAGTAAAATTATTGAGTTCGCAATTCGCTTTGTATTGCTGTAAAAAACCATTTTTACGAAATTTACTTATAGTTTTATCTACCATAAAAAACCTAGATAGGTAGTACATCAAAACTATAATCACAACAGTGTGAAAAAAAATTTAAGCCTACATAAATAAAATGTTTATATATTATCTTTAACGATTGCAATCGTTGTGTTAATCTAGACACTTGTAAACATAAGGCACCGTTCAGTCTTCGGCTCTATGACGTCAAGCGAATATTTTCAAACTCCTGTACCTCATTGAATAATTATTTTTTAAGTGTGAGACCCACAAGATATTCCTTAGATACTGACATGCTTTATATCTAAGTAAACTTGTTTTTAGATGTCCTTTAAGTTTACAAAATATTAATGGAAAAATCTCAAACATTTATAAATTATAAGAACTAGACGTTTGAAAACATTGCAACACCTATAGGCTATAATCATATTATACTTGCCCAATTGACCACCCTTTAATAATAGAAAGAGAAATATCATACCTATAATAAAAACGTGCAACAAATCAATGAATAAAATGTCTTGGTAAAATAAGTGGAGCTGAAAAAATATGTTTATTTATTGTATTCTTTCTTTGTCCGCAATAGCATATAAATTTGTCGCAAGGGCAACGCTCCGGTTATTTACATTATTCAATTCACTTTCATCTACCTAATCGTCTGCAATGTTCCTGTATTTCCAAATAATAAAACATTTATTAAAAAACCTTATACTAATAAATTATTAAAGTAAATACCTATAGCTGTATAAATTAATATTAAGAAAGTATAAATACCTAGGTACCAATGATGGCCCGTGCAGGCATTAGGCAGTTTTCACCTCTAGCGGCTCTAGGAACATTATAGATACCTATAAGCGATATTATATTGACTATTTACAGTACCTAATATAGTACCTATTGACTAATCATAGTAGGTATTTATTTCAAATAAGTCCCACCATTTTCTACTGTAGGTGTATAATTTATTTTAATTATTTAGTGGATAATTTTCTAAAAATAGTAGTCAAAAGTATCAAAATCAAAATTTAAAGTAGTTTTTGAATTATTTAACTTTGAGCAAAATTGTCTTTAGACTTATACGACTAAGCTGCCTAAATTGTAAAATAATTAGTAAAAGGAACAAAAAATATGTTGGCCAAATGGCCTCCAGGAATATACCTATAACAGAAAAAATTGGATTCAATATATTATATATGCATAATATTATAATACGAACCTATTTTTAGGGTTTCGGGGATCCACCTTCGCCCCCCATCCCTGGAATAGTTTTTTCTATATTCCAAAAGTTATAACTTCTTATGCACTTTTGACTTTTCTCATACCTATCGAGTACTGTATTCACGTTATTATCATGACCTTGAATAATATGCAGCTGCAGATGTCGTCCGAAGTCGCAATCCGATCACCATCCAAGACAGACTTAATGCACCAAGTTTTCGCAGAGCCGAGGACTGCGAAATTTAATACCCTGATCAAAATTCGGTTGGTGAATCTCGATTTCGCCGGTCTGGTGAATGGCGGTGACCATCAGGCGGCGGTGTTCAATGCCAAACATGGCGTTGCGGACCAGGGACGTAGTTAAATGGTGATGAGGGGGAAAGATCTCCCAGAGTCTTTATAATATATATATATATACATATGTATATATATTATATAACACTCACCACTGTACTTGAAAATGTATGCATCGGCTGTCTGAGTGCTTCTAAATTTGATGCCAGGTCAATACCTAATAAGACGTGGAAAAAAATACGGGTTCCAAAGACCACCCTTTCATACCCCCCAAATAACCAGTCCTGATTTTACAATTTTGTGTACTTATACTCATAAGTATAAGATATGTCTATGATAATGAGTTTGGAAGATATAAGGAATATGGAGATTTTAAAATGATCGTAATTAATATTAATCTATCGACATCTATCTACTTATAATTCAAAAATAGTCCAAGCGTAATAAATTCAAAATCCAATATTACATCTAAATTGTATTTTTTAAAACCATTTTTAATGACTATTATCCTTAGTATAAACATTTTATCAACTTATAAATTAATTTTCTTAAATGTTTAATTAGGCAGGTGGATTCACCAACATTTTCCAAAAAAATATCTACCTACCGAATAATTTACAGTAAAAAAATGGAATAATTTAAAAAACAGATGTTTGTATCACCACCACCGCAGGATAGTCATTAAGTAATACAAACAATTTAAAGATTTTAATAATATTGTCCATAAGGATATTAAACAATTCCAAATGTCAGAGTTTGAATAAAATATTTATTAGGTACCTACTAAACGAAAACATATGGATTTGCATGCTTGGTAAACCACTTTATATATAATATCATCAGGTGCAACTGCAATACAAGTAACAATGACTTTTATTTCCATTGAATATTTTTATTGAAAGAACAAGGATAACATCATTGTTTTTTTACCAGCTACCTCTATAGTATGAAATTGAAAATATGCAGCACACCTATACGCGAGTAGGAGAAAGAATATGATAACATTTTAGGTACCTATTTAGCAGCACATAGAAAATAAAAACTATGCATTAACTGTATTCGTTACTTTGTTGGTGTTTTTTAACATCGAAAGTATTTCTATTTCTTCTGTTTGAAATTGGATTTTGAATTTGCATGTAAATGTGACAACGGGCACTACAACAAAGCCATCGATCGAATAAACGCATTTTGTCAAAATGGCTATTACGGACACCCGGTGTGTATAAGTTAGTATATAAAACACGACATAGGTTTCTGAGCAAATAGCCAATAACAGCGGAGATATAAACGATGAACAGAAATACAGAATTCAGCAACATAATATACCTACCTAGCCTAACCTAACCTACCCATAATATTATAATAATATAATATAATGGAATGAAATATGGACTACTTAGGTAGGTATATATGTTTATATTACTCATGTATTAGATTATGTATATGGTAATTCATAACAAATATTGTTTTATATAGGTACATAGTATTACTATATTAGGTATGTTCTTCACACTACACATACACCTCACAAATAACTTCACATGGTACTAGCTGTATTACCCTGATTTGACTCTTAAGTTATTTTTTAAAAATGCTGTGGGACTATTTTTGTTCTTCAATTGTCAAGTATAACAATATTAAAAATATTATGTGTTCTATAACATTTCAAAGTTATAAATGCATCACATTTTCGTATTAATTTCACAACATCCTAAGTGCATCCCCATTCATATAACGAGGCCCTCCAGTAAATGTCAATAGTAAAATGGTAAATTTTCCAAAGCCCTGATATTTTTGTTGAGTTTAAATTATATTGGTTAGAAATTTGTTCGTTTTTTAAACTATTTAATCCCCACTGGATTCAACAAGTATTGAGTTAAAGTTTAAATTTAAGTTTTATTTCATGAACGTTGTTGTATCATATCTTCATACCTTTTCATAGTCAATACCAAAATATATACCTAGCATTTATTGGTACCTACATTGTTAACATAATAATATAGGTACAAATTATTGATAATATTGACTACAAAACAATAAAAAATATAAAAGAAAAAAGCTTTGATTTTTTGGTGGTACCCATTTTCGACTTGGAAGTGCACAAGTGCCCTAGTTTCTCCATTGGTATTTGCTACCTACCTATCATTATATACAACCTATCTTTGCAATAAGCTGAACGTGGGTATGAGTATACGTATACTCTATCTTAATAGGTATCTTATATAGGAGTAACGTCAGGCACCCAATGGGTGTGGCTAACCCTCGCCGAATATAACGCTTAAAAGGTACTTATTATTATTCCAACAACCTCCTAGAATTTTACTAATACAATTTTCGGCCGTCAAACGAAAGATGATGACAAAAGTCGACTGATTTAATCGAGGGGTGTGGCATGACCGAACCAGACGAAAATCGGTCACCGCATGAGGTTGCTCTTATCTGAGACAGAGTATACCTCCTATAGGTACAGGTCCGTAGCACGGAGAGGGTTTAGGGATCCAACCCCCCCCCCTTCCCTTACAACATGAAAGTATATAAATATATTTACAAACATTTAATACTACTAACATATTTTTAAGTAATCTCTTTTCACTGTGATGAACTCTCATCCCCAAATGAAATTCCTGTTTACGGCATTGAGAGTATATAGGTACCTACTTGTATGCTGGTTGTTGCTAACCAATATCCGTTTATTCGTTTAATAATACGTGTAAAACAAAATATATTACAAAAATGTTTAGTATGCAACTATATGCAAGCATATACCTATTGGCTATTACCTTCCTATGACAGACTTTCCAGTTTCCATTCTTAATTTATTGTACTAAGCAGGTAGGTAAAAGTAATAACTAATAAATATAACAAACAAAAACTTCGGGACTTTGCTTCTACGATTAGGTAGATAGGTACGACTATGAGACTAAAATAGGCATTTAGGTCTAAAGTAGGTATAGAGCACTGAATATTGCAAACAATGTAGATGATTATTTAATATTTATGTGGTAGAAATGAATTTGAGCATAAAAGAACAGAAAAAGAGGGGTAGACGATTTCATTCGGATATTTCCCAGCGAGTTTTCATCAGTATGGTTATTTTTCCCTTTCGATTTTATCAGATTTTTATTACCCACAGTGTCCCACACCAAGTATATTCGTTTGGGGCTTCTTTATTTTTATCTCTTTTCTACTCTCCCCGATACGGATTTATCGTTTTTATTTTACACAACGTCGTTCCGTTACGTTTACAGGACCACATAAACCGCAGGCTAGCGAAATAGAAAATAAAATTATCTTATGCCTCCTCAATCGCTTTATCCGTCAAATCTTTCTAGCACACGTAAATAAACTATCGCACGATTTACGACGGTATTTTATAACAACATAACACTCAATGCAGATAACATAAGATTTTTAAAATGCCGCTATACTCAATAATATAGGTACCTTATTTATTGCTATTAAAAAAATATTGTTATGTTATTATTTAATAACGTACCTACTACCTAGGTATAATAAATAATATTATCAGACAATAATAATTCTTGGATAAACATTGAGAATATAGTTAGCTACCTACATTTATCGTCCATGTCGAATATGTTAATTTTAATTTTATTTAACTTCAATACCATCATTTGAAAATATCTTTACCATATTTAAAACTAAATAAATGAAGATAAAATGTATTACAATATATTATTATAATTATAAATAGATAGAAAACTGAATAATATAAATAATGTCTATTTACTTCCGTCCTAATCCTTCACAACTTTCCCATCCACCATCCTACAAGCCGTGTCAGATTGAGTTAATTAACTGGGTACAGTCTTGTAAAGTATTCGAATACAAGTATTTTAATACTTTTTGAAGTATTTATATGATATTCTAAATACAATTTTTTTAATGTACTTGTTTAGTATTTTAAATACTTTTTAAAAGTATTTCTAACAAAATTTAAATACTTGTATTAAAATACCCTAAAGTCCGTTTTATTAATTTTGTATCGTTTCTGTATTGGAATTTTTTAAGAAAACTGAAAATCTAATAATTTTAAAATAGTTCCATCTTAATAGTTAATACCACTTTTTATTGTATTTTTTTCATTAAAATTTAATCAATATTAGTTGAAATATATCTGAATGCAGAATGAAATATGTGAACATATATTTATCTCTAAATAGTCAGCCAAGTTATAGTAATTGTTAAAATCTATGGTAAGTAGTAACATAATAGCTACCTATACTGATGTACAATATACATATATTATATAGCATACAATTTAAAAAAAAAAATATTTGTATTTGTATTCAAATACTTTATGAGCAGGGCTCGTAAGTTCATGCATCTGCATGTTTTTTTTGCTACACAGGAAAACATGCTAACTGAGATACAAATCCGTTTCATAACAATAGTAATATTGATATGAAGTTTGATAGTGCATGTTTTTGCATGTTTTGGGTGTAAAGTCATATTTGGCATATAGTTGATTTTTTACAGTCGTTAGTGCATATTATTTCATAAAAATATTTTTTTAGACAAATATTTGAAGAGTTCCTTCCGATTTTTGATATCTTGTTCCAATCGTCCAATATAGCATGGTAAATTATAACGGTTTTTAAATTTTTTATTGATTAATTATTTAGCTAATTAATAAAAATATCGAAAATCAGGCTTCTTACGATTGTAAAAAAAGTTCTTCTCTACAATTTTTATAATAGGTATTTTTACTGTAAACCACTTCAATAAGCCGTATTACTTGAATTACGAAACCATGGTTTTATGCCATATTTTGTCTATTAGTGTGCCCTCTTAAGTTGGAAAACATAAAAAAAAACACTTACAAAATATATATTACTAAATTATCTCAAAATGAAATACTTAATATTTAATTCCAAATGTTTTCATTGTTGGTGCTGAATAAGGGTGTACACAAATTAGACAAAAATGACTACTTAATTAAAATTTATAAAGATGACAAAGCTATTTGAACTTCACGAGTATTAATTTTATTTTTTATTTTATTAATTTTGACTGTTAAATATATAAAAATTAAAAGGAATAAAATACTTTTAAAATGTATGGATTTATTCTTATTATTTTAAAATTTGGTCATGTTTTTTTGTATGCATATTTTGAGTGCATAATTTAAAAATGTTAAGGCATATAAATGCATATTTTCGAACTTTTAAGTGCATATTTTAATGCATATTTTGACAATTTTTAGTGCATGAATGCATGCTTATTTATGCGTTTTTTAGTGCATGAAGTTACGAGCCCTGTTTATGAGTATTCGTAAAATACATTTTTATAATAGTATTTTAAAAGTATTTTTAATACTTTTTTATTCGAATACTAGTATTAGTATCTTAATACTTTTTCAAAAGTATTTTTTCAAGACAAGTCAAGACTGACTGGGTAGTAGGTACCTACTATAGTTATATAGATAATAACAATAACTAGTGTAAACAAAAGTAGTCCAACGTCGTCGGCCGTTTTCATATAATACAAATAGCTTCAATGACTTGAAACTTCCCTACACAGCAGATCAGCAGCTGGTCACGTAGGTAACTAAATTATATAATGAACATGGACACAAATATTATGCAACTCCGTTTGCACCTTTGCAATCGCGTGTTCTGCATATTTTATTTTATTTAAACAATATTATTTTTTACTTATTAGCATAGTAAAATAAATTTTTAATGCACTTTTCCATTTTTTTAAAACATTTTTGTCGATTTTTAAGGCATTAAAATACCATTATATGTAGGTAATAACTAATAATTCTATATAGACCACGTCCCATTCCTCGAGGTAACCGTAACCGGTAAGTTGGTAACCGGAATAAATAAACTAAATAATAATAATAAATCAATGACATTTTAAATAGTAATTTCTCAAAAACTCCATTAGAGGCTTGATTTTGCACAGAAAAGTAAACATTTTCAATAAGATCCTTGACATTTCTCTTCAAAATCTTGACATATCCTATTGAAGGAATCCTATATATTCCTATACATATATATCCTATATATTCTAGAAAAGTATAATCACCAATATAATAGGTACTACACAAATTCGAATTGTATCAATGACATTTTCCATTAAATCCGCATGAATTTAACATTAGAAGCAAGATATCTCCCATTAGAATATTGATATATACCCACTCAAAAAAAAAAAAATTAAAAAAAAAAAACCTCAACATTTTTCATTACATTTCAAATAGAATAATTTACGATTCTCATAAGTTCCATTAGAGCCTAGAGGCTTGATAATTCACAGAAAGAAATACATTCCCCATAAAATCTTTGACGTATTCCATAAAAAACATGGGAAAATCATAAAAGCATTGATACTTACGAGTATGATTAAACGTTTGTAATTTCTCATTAGATGCAAGATAGGTATACTCTAGAAAAGCATAATCTCAAATATAATATTCGATAATTCTTAATAAATCTATGACATTTTCCATTAGAAAATTGATACTTCACAGAAAATAATAAAATATCAATAAAATGTTGTCATTTCCACAACACATACTGTTCATCTTTAAATTGTAATGATTGGTAATGAATACATTCATCGTCCATGAGACCAATTAAAATCCGATAGTCATAAACTCATAAATCATAAATGTAGGATCATAAAATCATTGATTTATTAAATTTTTTAAAGTTTTTAGATCGTTGTTCTGTACAAACATTTCCATAGCTGTTATGCTTTTATGTGTATTTAAATGTCATCATCGATTTCTTTCTTCGAATCTTCATATTTTTAAATCTTTTTTTACTTGATGAATCTCTTCCAATATGAAATTCTTTAACCCATTGATTCGTGTTAAAAATGTGTCTTAATTCAACCTTAAAACGCAAATGAAATGTTAAGACTCATTAATTACTGTTTTGTCCTTCTGAGTCAACAAAATAATAACACATTATTATAATAACAAGTGGCGGTCAAAAAAAATGTTCAATCCTATTTATAGATAATTGAGTGATGGCCCGGGCGAAGACAGGGTAACCCTAGCTAGTGATTAATACAATTTTAAATTGTAAAGCAATTAATAATTAGTATTCCAATAGTTTATTGGTTTCTAAAGCATGATGTAATAAACTAATTTTACAATTAATTTTTTTATCCAGTCTAGCACATTTTTTGATAGTCAATCTTGATTCTAAAATCAATGAAGTTAGGTTATGAGAAGATAGTAGTATACCTATAATACAACTAATCTATTTAATTGTGCAATAAAAAAAATATGTACCTATTTATTTATTTTATGGGTAATATTTGAATGATTATTTTAGCAATACGGTGTCCAATATCAACACTAAATTAAAACAGAGGCTATTAGTGAATACTGATTTACCATTTCCCATAATAACATGTTCAAAAGTTATTTGATACTTTGGCAGCACATTATTATATTTCCCACAATTTTAAATTACCTAATAAACCTTTACTGTATTTTATATAATTATGAAATTACTATTAATTGTCAAGTTGGTCATAACTAATGATAATACTAATAAATACAACAAGAGGATGTCAGCGCACTGTTTGTTATCTCTCTCTGGCCCAAGCAACATGGACGAAAAGCATTTACGCAGAATCATTTTTTTTATGATTTTCAGTAAGTAATCTTAGAGTAAAATCACCCATTAAAGATTTAAACATAATTTACCTAAATGTAATAATATTTATTAGATTCTGAGCGAAGCGATGAATGCACCTATTGATTATACAATGATGCGTCTTCTTTTTATTAGGTAATATTATTTTTATTTGTTTCTCATCACCACTTTTTGAAACAGTAAAAATGCATCGATTTTCTTCAACAGCATTTTTTCAGGTAGAAAAATGAACTTGGTTGGTAGTTTGGGGGGTCAAAAGTAAAATATCCCAATGGATTATAAAAACGTCAGGAAAAACAAACAAACATTTGAGAAAAAACTGAGATTTTTACGAAAAACCCAATTTTCGAAAAAGTCCATTTCGTTTTTTATTATAGCCCAAACATTTATACAGAATGTTTATATTACCAAATTCTTTCTATCATACAATTTTCAAAATATCGAGCTACTTTTTGAGCTATTTATAGGCATAACAAAATTTTGAGTTTTACTAGTTTATAAAATATTAAATTTTTTTGTCGTCAAAAAATTAAAAATGTAATACATCGATCTTCATAATTTGTTGTTACTACACTTGTTGGTGAAAATTAAAAAAAAAATCGCTCGTAAATCCACAATATTTGTTTTATGGGGGTGTGAAGTTAATATATTGACAATATTCATGAAAATCACGAACATTGGCAAATTATTTCGAGTTGGTAATTCATAAAAATTGTTTTATGCATTAGGTATGTATATTTAAGATTTGAAATGTTCATACAAGTTCCTTTTAAGTTTTCCTCTGTTTAACAATAAAAAATAATTACCGGAAAGTCTAATTAATTGCTTCAAACGAGATATTAAATAGAACGTAAATTAACAAATCATCATAAATCGATTTTCTTATTTTGTCGTTATTCAAAAACTGTTAACCGTAGGTACTTGAAATTGTCGACAAATGTGTATTTTATCATTTTCTTAACATGATAGTATTTTCAAAATATTTTAACTCTTTTTGAACTATTTATAGCCATGTATAATTTTTGTATTTTGTACAATTTTTTCCGATAAAAACTTTTTGACTAAGTAAAACTTCTTGAACATTTAATGCAAGGCTCCTCATAAGTTGCTTTAATAGAACATCAAAAATATTAAAGATATACCAGATATAGGCATGATTATTTTTTATATGCATTTAAAGATCAAATTTTGACAAGATTCATAACAAATTATTTTTCATTTACCTATTATTTTAATTATTAAATTTGATTATTTATACAAGGATTATTTATAGGAGGACACAACGTCTGCGCTCAGAATCGTATTTCATATGCAATGATTTATCATTGAATTAAAATATACGTCAACAACTATATAAACAACTGTAGATCAGAGCGGTACCCACTCTTCCGCCTTTTTTATTTTGAAAATCGAATACTTAGTCAAATAATAATAATAACAAAATATAAAACTGATATGTCAAATATTCAAAAATATTATCTTCTATAATTTTTGTAATGGATGACTTTTCTCTAAGATAACTCAAAAATCATAAAACTACGATTTAGGTGAAAGTGTTTCTATCTATGTTGCTCATGGATCTGAGAGAGAAAATAAATAATGTGCTGACATCCTCTTAACAAATATTTGTCATCTATTCAAATAATGAATCATTTCACTTAGTAGTTTGTACATTAATTACTATTTTTCAATAATTAACAGCCCAAATAAAAGTAATAAGTGCATTTCTCATTGCAAACGTAAATGAATGATTATCTTTATTTTTAATCAAAAAATATATTTATGATTTTATTAACTTGGTGAACACATAAAAAGCACAAACTAATAACTATTCATTTTGTTTGTTAATGGACTTATATAATAGACTAATAGCTATTAATAGAAATAAAACATTGTTTAACAATCAAATAATATGGATACATAAAATTAATTTTTCTAAAACTACTTATTTTCCAAACACACCAATATTCTTTGTGTCTTCTTTTCCTTCTGAGTACTTTTGATGCCAATCCAAGTTTCTTTGCATTATTGTCTCACCACGGTCACGGGCCCTCTTGCCTGTAACAACCATTGCAATACACCCCAAGATTATAAAGAACATTGTATAGTTGGCCACTTTGATACGTATAACAGAACGAACTTTGTTCCATACTTCAGGTCTGCACAAAATAAAACATAATTTAATTAGTAATATAGGTATTATAGTTTAGAGCAGACAATTTACATAGAGGTAATCTAATTATGTTAAAAGTAATATTTTTTGTACTCAAATGTTTTAGATTCCAAGCGGAGCAATGAATGAATAGGTTTTACAATGTATGCACGCTTTTTTTTGTGTCTGAAGACACTTTAATAGTGGCAAAAATGCTTCAATCTTCGAAATTGATTATGGTTTCTGATAGCAGATTAGATTAATAATTTTTACTTGGTGAAAAGGGGGAGGGGAAATAGAAAAAAATGACTAGTACTTTTTAAAATAAATATTTATTGGTAGAAAATTACCAAAAAATGGAAATATTCAAGCAAACCCAGTTTTTGTCAAAATTGTAACTGTTAAGACTTGAAAAGTTGTCCAAATATTCATATAAGTATTTTCTAGACATGATATAATTTTCAAAATATTTTGGCTCTTTCTGTGCTATTTATGGACATTTAAAATGTTTACTTATTTCATTTTTTTATTGATTAACATATCATAAATTTTTTGTTTTCACGTCCAAGTGCTTGAAAATTTAATACAAATACAACGTTCCTCATAAGTTTTAGTTGTAGCAAGTAAAAAATACTAAAAATACATACTCACAATCTTTTTCATAAGTATTTTAAGTTCAAACATGTGAAAAGTGAAAGTGCAATTAAGTACTTACATAACTTATGTACCTAATAAGAGCGTAGTATAAGTACCACTGATTAAATGTACATGTAGTGCAATGTACATTGTACATGGTACAGTCATTTATTATCAATATTTATTTATCAATCAAGACAGTATCTATTTATACTTTATAGACATAGTTGAAGTTTAAACAATTTATTAAACATAAATGTGTGAAAGGAAATTTAATAACAAGTGAACCTTGAATTTAAATTTAAATCACCCATCTATGAAAGTAATAATATCCTGCTAAACTTATTAAATATGAAAAGGAAGGATCTACACTACAGGTCAATGTACTGAAAAAATTTACTACGTCAGCTACATCATTCAAATTTGGGATGAGAAAGTCAATATTAATATCACTATAATATAAAAAGGAGACAAAACAAAGCGTTCTAAACCCTAGTGAAATAACTACAAAGGACAATTGTATGGGTATTCTGCGTTTGTACCTAAATATAAATGTGAGTGAAAGTGAAGACAAATAATAAACAATAAAATTAATTAATACCAAATAATGCTTACGTGACATGATCTGGAACATCTTTCAGTGACGGATATCGTTTAGCCCAGACACACATGATTTTTCTTGTATTTGTAAGAGGTAATTTAATATCTAAAAATATATTCAAAATAAAATTTATTCTATTTAAAAGATGTTATGGTTTTTGTCCCAACATATAGCCTTTAAATTGGTTATACTCTCGGTTGACTCTCAATAATATGTTAAGATAAAAACATCCTTGTCAAACTGGTATAGCACATATTTTTTTTGCCTACTTAAAATTCTCAATAGTTTTAATTTTAAACTTTATTTTGCACTATTGATTATCTACTTGTATCATTAAATTAATTACCACTTTAAAACAGATTTACAGTTCTATAATAGTTATATTATTATTTACCTAACTTTTATTTTAATGATACAGATTAAATAAAATGTGAATCCTGAAAGTAATTATGGTTAATGAGAGTCATTAAATTGTAGTTTGTACCAGGAATATGATGGATACAAATTATATTTATGTAACACATAAATAGTGGGTACATAATTGTTTTTTTCTTACCAATAAATAAACTAATTAATGACCAAATATCATAAAATAATTTTTTACTGTAGTGTATAGTTGTATAATTCTGAAAAGTTTATAACATTGATTATAAATACTAGTATTTATAATCAATACTTATAATAAAGAAAAGATATAATTTATATATTATATGATTTGTTGTGGACTGTGGTAGAAAAATATCAATACTATTGATTAGATTCTATTTGAATTATTAAAAATAACATGTAATATTATGTATAAATAACTGATTAGTTATTACCCAACTTCAGCTAATACATGAATACTATGGTACCATATTATTACAATATTACTAAACAAATTTGATTAAATAAATAAATTGTATACAACATTAGTCTGTAAAGTGAAACTTTAAATAATTTTGTAGGTAAAAAAATTGTTAAATAGAATCTCTTAGTTATTAAGTACCTATTTCATATTTCAATATTAAAAGTACCCTCAACAATTAAACTCTGGATAGGTGCCATTTGTGGCAATGATAAAAATCTAAATATATATTTTTTTAATAGTTTTATCATTTATATTTATTTTATATAATGCCCTTTATTTAAGGACTTTTAGGAAGGAGATCCCTATGTTTATTTTGTACACTATGCCACCATAAAATATTATATTCAATAAAAGGTTTGAAAACAAACCAACGATAATAGACTATAATAGTTTATAATATGAATTAACCTTATAATACATTTTAAAATAAATTTACTTGAATTGAATGAAGACGTTACACTTGGATTTGTAGTCGGGGGGTTCGGTGGAGTAGCACTTGGGGTAGTATACTTTTTAGTCATGTTGAACAATCCATTTTTTAAATTTTTTCCAAACCTTGGAATAATATTCATCGCGGATGTGTACATTCAGTACAGGACGAAAGTTAATAATCAACTGGAACAGTGGTGTACTTTCTTGTAGTCACGAACACCATTAATCATAATAAACCTTAATAATCATATTACAAATTATCTAAATGGATTGATAACGGCCGTACAGCTGATTAATTGGAAACTGATAACAATATCAGATTTCACGTTGCCGCAATCAAAATGAAATCGTGTTTTGGCGGATGGCGATCGGTGAATGTACCTGCAACCTACTCATGTGGTAATTAAAATAGTTTTTCTCTTCGACAGTTCGAAACATAATTATAAGTTGTGAGAGTTGTGTAAGTACAAACGTTTGAGCCCAGGATTTGTGTCAACAACTTAATTGGATTTACCGGTTATAATGTCCGCGTCATTGGCAAATAGAACATGTGAAACGGCCGGATGCGGTTCGAAAGCAAATCTTCAATGTCCCACCTGCATTAAACTTGACATCCCCGGTTCCTATTTTTGCTCTCAGGTAATCTTATTAATGATTATTTTCCTATATTTTGGGACATATTCCCATCATTTGTAGCTATTCCGACCAATGTGTATGTCGTCAGCAAATTACCGAATGGCTATAAGTGACCGATGCCCTATCTGTTTTATTTTTCGTTTGGCTTAAAATTTGAATAGTCGTAAGCATTCAGCTAAATCTTGTTGTAATCAATACTTGAATTTTCTAGCAAGAGCGACTACTTGCATGGCCGCAAACATCTGAATTATTACGACAAGATTGCATAGACCGTGTTTGCATATTTTTCAATTTAGTTATACTTATTCAAACCTTATTTCAGCTAAGAAGTAGAGTTAAACAGTTTGTGTACGAGGCGCTTCTCGGATATGATATTTGTAATTTATTTTATCAAACAAAAAAGAACTATTATTAACTACGCATACCTAGTTGTATACCTAACTAGTGTTTGAATTCTATTTTAATGAATTAATTTTTCCAAACAACAAAAAAAGGCAACGAGAGTCTAGCAAATTTATAGTATATTTTAAATGTTCAGACTTCTTTTTTTATCAATTCAAGTACTGCTTATACAGTTATACTAAATATCTTGGAGGATTTATAGATGAGTTTAAGTTATCAACAATTTAGATGATATTGATACCTAATTTAACTGTTATAATTTAGGTAGATTTTTATATTTAACCTTATGTTTGGTAATGTTAACCTTATAATTATAATTTTGAAACTGTGATTAAATGTTCGATAATATTTAATAATATGTAATGTTTAAGATCAACATTTAATATTTTAATTAAAATGTTTACCTATTCTGTTTTATTGTTTTAGGAGTGTTTTAAAGGGAACTGGTCTACACATAAAGCTCTTCATAAAGCTGGCCGTAAGTGCAATTTTCTTATAACTATAAAAATTATTATTATTATTTTTATTTATTTTTTAATGTTTTTGTTTAACAATTTAAAAGTTTTAAGATTTAATTATTCATATTTGCATCGTTAAAAATTTACAAACTATAGGTACAAAAATTAATAATATTTAACATAATTCAATACTCGATTCAATAAGAGATCTAACAAATTTACACTAAAAATCTTTTTAGTTAAATGTGTATTTGTCAAACAAAGGTTTACTGTCAATTGAGTTGAATTGACAACATATTATTTTGAGATTATTATTTAAACATTAAGTTTTTCCTAAAAATTATTTTACTTGTTATATATTTCATTAACTTATTTATGAAAATTTAAGTCAATGTGTATTTAATGGTGGTATACACTATTTAACACCAGTTAATCGACAAACAATCTCGATCCTCAAAAAGTCGGTAAGCATCAAAGGAAAATATTCGTCAATCAACCAATAAAGAACCAATGCAATACCTGCTTAACATTGAAGAAAAATTATAATTTTTTTTTTTTTAAATATGATACTTATTATCTAATTAATATTATTATTTTTTAATTGTGTTACAGAAAATTCAAATGGTATTATTGAGCCATTTAATCCATGGCCAGATTATGTATTTACAGGTAAAATAAATGTTATCACTTATCATATTAAAAATCATAAGAAGTACACCATACTAGAAAGTGAAAGTATCCTCTATTCAGAATAAGAAAGATACTGGGCGGTAATCGGTTTTCTTCTGGCGGTGGTCAGATGCTTCTTCTACCTAGACAACCACCTGGTTTGGCATTCATAACATAGCTACGCCTATGCGCACAAGTCGGTCGCCCGGTACCTTTTTATTCTGCATAGAGTATAGAACATTTTAAACAATCAATAAAAAAAGAAAGTAAATAGAAACAATTTTAAATTTAGCATTAATTATAACTCTTATTAACCATTTATTGTGATCTATGTATTAGTTATCAATATAAGAAATAGTAAATTTAACTACACATTCATCAATCAAATAATATAAAAATTGTTTATTTTTTAGGTCCATTAAGACCTCATAGAACATCTCCTGCACGTACTGTTCCTGGACACATACAAAAACCTGATTATGCTGAACATCCTGATGGCACACCTTTAAGTGAACAATCAGTAAAATTATCATCTCACATTAAAGTATTAAACGATGAGGAACAAGAACAAATGAGAATTGCTTGCAAGGTATTTAGATACTTAGAAGTCAGTGGCGTAGCCATGGGAGGGGCTGGGGGGGCTGCACCCCCCCCCCCCAAAAATGTTAAGAAAATTTAAAAATTATTTTAATGGTCTATTATAGTCGCTTAAAAAGTCTTAAATTGTATTTAAAAATGAACTATATGTATTAACACTGTTTAGCTATCTGTGCTAGTACGTATTTAATCTGTAAAAGTGTAAAAGTTAACAGCCCCCCCCCCAAAAAAAAAAAAACACATTCAACTCCGGTGACGCCTATAAGCGTCTTTAGTAATTGTATATTTGTATGTGTAACGTCGGTGACGCGTTTGTGTGTCATCTCAAATTGTACAGCCACGTGTATAATACAAGACAATAGATAGAGTAAACTGATTAGAAGCTTGTCAAAACCAAGCCAGATAATATAATATATTGACTATAAATGGATAAAAATATACATTTATGTTAATAGTATATATGCGTGTATACACGATAATACGATTATAGTTCCCTCCAGTCTAAAAAACCCGATTTCAAAAATCAACCCATTTCTTTTTTTTATGTTTGTTCCCTATAGCCACCTCAAATTTCAGATATTTACAGTAAAAGCTACAATAATTAAATGACATTGAAATCAATAAGAAAATTATGAGTAAACACGTCAGTAAAAAAGAATGCTAAACTCTCATTATGAAAGATAAAAGAGTCGCCAGCGTTGAAAAAGTTAGTTAATGAAGGTACCCTATTGTTAATTTTGTTTTTTTTTTTAGCTTGGGCGAGAAGTATTAGATGAAGTAGCATTAATGATTGATGTTGGAATAACAACAGATGAAATTGATAGAGTTGTGCATGAAGCATGCATTGAAAAAGAATGCTATCCATCACCATTGAATTATTACAAATACCCCAAATCATGTTGTACATCTATAAATGAAGTTATATGTCATGGAATACCTGACATGAGAGCATTAATTAATGGAGATATTTGCAATGGTTTGAGAGATAATTTTAAAAATAAAAAATAAAATTTGCTTTAATAATATGTATTACATTTTGCAGTTGATGTAACTGTATGTCATCGAGGATATCATGGTGACTTGAATGAAACATTTTTTATAGGAAATGTTTCTAAAGCTGCAGAAAAATTGGTAAATGTTACTTGGGAATGTTTAGAAAAGGCTATAAAAGCAGGTAGAATACATATATTATTTATTAAGTAATTATTTTGAATGTATTAAAAATTGTTCTTATTGTACAGTTACACCGGGTGAAAAATATAGAGAACTTGGCAATATTATACATAAACATGCTCAATCCAACGGATTTTCTGTTGTAAGAAGCTATTGTGGTCATGGTATTCATCAATTGTTTCATACATCTCCTGGAGTCCCACATTATGCTAGTAAGTTTCATAAATATATTTTCACAAAAAATGAATCGTTATTTAATATTTATATTATTAATATAATAAAATAAACAATTTTAATATAACAGAAAATAAAGCTGTTGGTGTAATGAAACCTGGACATACATTCACGATTGAGCCTATGATATCACAAGGTAAGTTAGCTATATAAAATAATAAAATCACGTTTAACAAATTAGTCTATTCTTATGAAAAATGTAATTGTGTGACATTCATACATTTTGTGCATCAATATGGCTGTCAACGTGTTTCCTATCAAACTTTTGAATGTAGTCTCTCAAATTCAATAATGTTGTAAATAAAAATGTATTTTGATCCATTTGTCTATAAATCAAATTTTAGTACACATCATTTTTAAATATTAATCAATAAAATTTAAAATATATTTTTCTTTATATATAATTATAAAATATGATTAAGATCTAAAAATTATCGGTATCTTGTTCTACTGAAAAGTGAATCTAGTTGGTGCATTCAGAAGGTCAAAATTTAAAATTACCAATATTTTTCAAAAATGCCAGGAAAAACAACATAAAAATTAAGAAAAAACGAGAATTTTTACGCAAAATTGGCTTTCGACAAAATCGATTTTGGTTTTTGGTGTGACTCTAAAATAAATTAATATGAAATATACAGTGTGTAAACGGTAATCGAGAACACTCAATATCTTTGCGTAGAGACCTGCTATTTGAATTCCGTTTTTTTGGCAGTTGTTATGACATAAAAATACACATTTTTATGGTCTTTGAATTTTTTTTACTTAATTAGTCACGCGCATGCGCATGTCAACTTTTTTTTTTTAAATGGCAACCCCCTGCTTTAACCACTATTTATTTTTTGCCTATTTTTTTAATGAATTTTGGTAGTTGAATCAACTTTCTAAGTCCAAAATTGACCAAGTTACAGCCAATCAAAAAAAAGAAAAATTAGAAAAAAAAATGCGCTCGATTTTCAGCTTTTTGATTGTAA